TTGGTAAAACGAGGACCCAAATTGTTGGGGGCAAGAGGCTGACTCTGTAAACCGCTCAGAAAGGACTGTAAAGCACTCTAAAGCAGTATATAAGTCTATTGCTATTCGCTTTCAGTCCCTAAGTAAGCATTTTGACTCAAGGGTTCTCATTTGAATATATCAACACTGAGTCCCTATGTCAGCCTTGGAAGCCCTGTTTCACTTAGAAGCTTCGAGGCTGTCACATTTAGTGCCTGGGAATTTGGGAGGGGGGGGGATTTCATAGAGAGGTGGAAGATTAGACTCAACAACGTTTTTTTATCAGAAAGTCAAGGACCTGTTGCCCTGCACCTGGAGAGGAGTGTTTCAATAAGGACATAAAGGCATTCAGATGATATGGACCACATACCCCATTCACACTCCCTTTTATGCATGCTAAAATGTTTGCTCCTAGCCCACACCTCTTTTTGACACCTGGAAATCCATCAGTTAGGCTGGCTTGAACGAGAAGATACCAAACTGGAAGGAGAGGGCCGGTGTTCACTTTTTCCCACCTTATCTGGATTTGGTTTCATTGCAGGGATACCTATTCTCTTCTCTTTTCTCGCTGTAGCTACAGCCATTCTTTTCAAGGCTTTTCTGATTTTCCTGCTGTGCAGGGAGCCCTCTTCTGGAGAAACATAACAAACATTGATGGTTTCTAGGTATCTCTCTCTGGGCGTGCTTTGTAATTCACTGTATTTCTTTAAAAATGTTCACAGTGCATCATTTTTAGCTTTATTTCCCTCCGCAATGAAAGCTCCATCCGTTATTTTTGTATTCACGTACTAGCTAAATAATGATGCACTTTTATTTCCTGGCCATCGGGGTTGGGGCTTACCCAATGTTCTGACTGCTAGTTTGCAGACTACAATCTCTGTTTCCATATATCACATTTGACAATAAAAATAAATCATGCTATGGTGTGCTGCAGTGTGTGGATCCAGACAAGCTACGGCTACTTAACTAACCAGGGCTAAAAGCTAGATGTGGCTTAATGTAACATTTGAAGCCAGGCATCTTCAAAGCTTAGATGTCATGGTTGCCAACCAATGATGGAGGTGGTCATACCTCAAAACTATGACAGATAGATCCTATTTTGTGTCCCCTACTGGAGGTCCTATCTTCTCCCAGAATCCCATTTTCATAGTTTATTGCAGCCTAATAATGATAAAGGGTTAAAACTGTCTTTGGGGCATCTTGAAGTATCTATTTCTTTCTCATCTTATGTCTCTTAACCAGAAGAAACCTCAGCTCTGCTGCCTGTCTGCTTGTGGCCTTTTCTATAGTACTTTGATAACTCTACTAGATCCATCATGGATATTTGAGAAGGGAGGCCCATATAGCAAAAAGGACAGTGATGGAAAGTTGTGTTTGAGTTGACTTGACCACCCAAGAGAAGATGGGTATCACAACTTGTGGGAGGCCATATATATACTCTCTCCCCTTTGCAAATGGTCAAAACCCACCCCTGTGAAAAGTACATGCACCAGATATAGAAGAGTCAGTCCCTTCCTGATGCAACTCAAAACTTTCAGCAAAAGGACAGATGGCCCAACCCTAATCTGCCAATGTTGCCTCTGTATGGACACATTATTGTCTGTACATAGACGGACTGTGTGAAGGTGCCCAGACCAAAAGCTCATCAATCCATATCAGCCTTAGTTTTCCCAAACTTAAAAGCAGAAATATCAAAGAATGCTCTGGTAGCATGTTGGGGGGAAAATAACAAAACTAATTCAACTAATTTCTGCAGATTTAGATCTAAAGGCCTGTGCATGAGCTATTATTTTACCCTTTCATCACTGTGACTGCCAAGCTTGAGATGTTCACATGTCTTTGAAGGATGCTTTGCGTTGAAAGGCAATAAGGGCAACGGATGTCTTCTCCATCAGTTGATCAAAACCAAAGCTTGCCATTTCCATGCTGGATATCAAGGAAGGAAACATGAATGCCACTGGAAAATAATATGCTACTGCCACTCAGGAACCTTTCTAGACTGCTTGGTGCAAGTAACTTCACCCCTTTCTTACACCCCTTCTGCAGCATTAAAGTTACTGAAAGTTGAGGAAAACAGTTTTATCACAGTAGCTCCTGTAACAACTTTCCATCTCCTTCCAGCTCACCAGCTGTTGCAGATTCTTCTCCAGGCCTCTTTCTCCCAATATTTCTACCACATACCAAGACTTGTTGAAGTGCAACATTGCAAGCAGACTGTCGTGATTTCCTAACCGAAGGGAGTAACTTTCTACTGGCGTGGACTGCAAGCCGTGTTCCTCCCTTCCCAGACAGATTGGCACATTGTCAGAGTTAGCTCATTCAGCTGTTTTGTGTTAACTTCCCACCACAAAGTAGCTCTTGGGGGTAAGATCCCAAATAAAGTTGGAAATCATAAAGCCCTATGATTCGATTTTCTAATAAGCAACATTTAAAAGAGGATGGTATGGTTTTTTTTTTCACAAAAGCCATGAAACACAGGCAAGAGGAAAGTGAATTTGCTTTCCTCCATTGTCCTTATCCATAGCAATTGTGGAGTCGAGAACAGAAACTTAATCAGCCAACGTGATTTAAAGTAGGAATTTTCTCTTTCATGCTAGCTGTGGATTCTGCCTACCCTTCCTCAAAAGAACAAGCTAGCATTTACAGTCATCCTACTCGATTGGTGAAACTGAGATCTAGTGACTTGCCTAAAGCCACTGAATTTGATATTCAACACCTTTTCCCTTTCCTTTCATCCAAATGCCTCGATGTCAAACTCTCAACATCCTAAAAAAGACAATTCTTCAGATCAAAACAATGTTTTCCTTGCTTTAAGAATGACTTCAAGCATGCACCCTTGGCAGAGCAAATCTGTTTAGTCATCCCCCCCCCCGTTTCCACTAAGTCATGGTTTGTTTAATCACAGTTTCTTCCATCAAGCACAGTTGGCATGCTGAACTGTCAGCTATGGTTTACAAATCACAATCAGTGTATTGGAGTAATGCATTAAACCAAAACACAGCAAATTGGATTATTGTTAGCTTGACGTTAGATTTTAACCTTCAGTCTGAATGGTTAACCAGAGCTTCAATCACTTCGGTTAAAATTCCTGATCAGGTTGCATAAGGAATGAATAAACATTGGATCTCTAGCCCTAACCATCCCTGTAGGTGTCTAGTTTACACAATTCCATAATTTGAACATGAAGACACCACACCACCTCTCCGAAAATTGGTTGATGAAACCTTTGTCTGCTAAGCTACCAGCCAAAATTCCAGTTTCCCCTTGTTTTAAAAACAATCTTCATTTTACTGGGGAAAACTGGGAAAAAGTCAACCTTCAGAGTACAAACGCTCCCCAATCTCTCCTCAATAGAAGTTCAGAGGACTGATCTCTGGACATTTCCTCCTGGACAAACCAAGATCCTACTTTGTGTTGAGCCCGTACTGTTGTGTTTGGAGATTGTGTGTCAGAATCCCTTAGAAGTGTGAATGTAGCATAAGTACAATAAAAGCCATAGAGCACACAAGGTTTTGTGATGGTTTCGATCTACCTTAAACGAGAGGACGGAAAGAAGTTAGAAGAAGGCATCTTCTCTTAGAAGGAGAACGTGTGCTTTGCATACCTATGTTCCAAATTCACAGACTTTAACTCATGTAGCAAAAATGGTCAGGTATGCAGTGATGGGGTAGAAGGAAAAAAAAAAAACCTTCTCTTTGTTTTGGGCATTGGAGAATCATGCAACATAAATGCTGGATTAGTTGGACACCCAGTCCAGTTGATAGAAAGCAGTTGTTTTCTGGTGCTTTCAACCTCAAGGGTTAAATTCAAAGCAAGTCCGATCCCCAGACCAAAAAAGGAATTAGCTTATTTTTTTTTTCCCTATGCCCAAATATCCTCCCCTCAAATGGAAAAAGACGGTAACCGAAGCACTTTAACCTCTTAAGAGAAGCAGGCGAGGCAAAGCAAAGCAACTCACACCAGAGGGGAAACTCGCAACATCATGTCACGCCCGCAACAAATCACCCTTCGGTACAACACCAGACCTTCAAACCACCACCACCACCCCGCAAACACAAATCTGTGGGTATCTTCTCAGAAGGAAGACTCCCCTCTGCAGCCGGCAGGAGTTCAGAAGTTGCAGCCTGTCTGGTTCCTTTTGACAGACAGCAACAGCAGGGTATCTCAGCCTCTTGATTTTAAAAAACGCCTGGGTGTCTTCCTCCCTCTCTCCCATCCACCCTTTTTGCTGCCTTTCTGGAAAGGGGGAGGATTTATGATAGTTGAGAAGAAACCAGGGAGGGAGGGAGGGGGGGTGGGAAAGATAGTGACTAATGCTCGATTTTGCAAATCCACTGAGGATTTGGGAGGAGGACTCTGGAGAACAAGGCTCCTACAGTCTCGTTTTCTTTTTCCATTAAATTCTTCCCGGTTCTAAATTTCTTTCCAGGGAGGGTTGAGCCAGATGAGGAACTGCTTGTAATGGATATCTCTTCCCCCACACACACACACACGCACACACAAAAAGACATGGGGTGGAAGGAACAAATCAAAGTTGAAGCGTATTAAAACAGATGGGGGAAAAAAAAATCTCTCCTGGTGCTACATGTTCAAGCCATTGCTCCACTTCTGTAAATAGAGGGGATCGAATAACCTTTGGGGTTGCACGCTCAAGCCCATCCGTCTACACACACACACACAGCTACGATACCTACACAGGGACGTGTGTGTGTGTCTGTCTGTCTGTGCGTGTGTCTTTATTCCTGTGATTGGAGACTAACCCGGCATTTCTGCCTCGTAGAAGCTTTTCTCACATTCTCCGCACAGGGGTTTTTAGTCAACCTGCAGCCCTTGAGAAATCAGACACTTCCAAAGAGCCAAATGCAAATAAGAGAGAGAGAGAGAGAAGAATCAAAGGGGAAAAAAAGGGGGGGAAACCCCAGAAACATTAAAGAAATCCCACACAGTTTCAAGGACCAAATCATCAGAACCAGATACCTTACCTGGCAGAGGAGGAAGGCAACCGTAAGTTGAACGTTGTGCTGCATTGTGTTAGCTTAGAAGCTGCCGGAGGTATTTTCCTGCATGCACTCAGCTGCACTGAGCATATTTTCCGCTGTGGAACAGCCTTTGAGGAGAGGCAGAGTGCGAGAGAGGGAGAGAGAGAGAAAGAGAGAGGGAGACTGTCTTGAGAGCTCGCCAACTTCCCAAATAGAGAGCAACATCACCACCAAAGCATTGGATAAAGGCTGATGACCAGAACCAATAGCTGTACAAGGATGCTTTCTTCACCAATGTTCTTCTTCTTCTTTTTTTTGCATCACACAGCCTGGGCACGGTCCCCTCGCCAAATGCAATTCTTTCAGAAAATCTCCATGCATGGGGCGGAAGACGGAAGAAAGTCGCTGCTTAAGAAGTCACACGTTTTGTGGATGGGGTTTGAAAGGCAGGCACAATTCGCAGCTTCTCCTCCCTGCTCCAGATTTGCACTCCAGGGCATTGTCAGCCCTGGCAGCGTGGCTGAAAGCTTGGCATTTTCTTTAGGGGAGGGGGATGTTAATTGGGAGGACTTTATTCTGAATAAATCAAAGCCAAAGCTGCCACCACCGAGCTTTGGGTACTTCCAAAGTGTTGGAAAGTCTGACTCCCATAGAAATCCGGACTGGTTCTTCACTTCCTCTTACAAGCAAAAGAGAGGACAAATTGAGTTGACTTGATGGGAAATATCCAACCCAGCGTCAGAGTTAAAGGTCTTCTTGGTCTTCTTTCAGAGCAGAGATCCCGGATGACAGTTTGCAACAGTCTTAAATCCTTGCAGAAGATTCTTCAAGATTGTCCACTGGACCAAAATCCATGTAGTTATGTTGGGATTTGGAATACAGAATCTGGAATGTCAAAAAACAGAGTTGCAAACATACTTAATTTCTACAACACAGCCAAAATATGAACAAAGGTAGATGCAAGCATTTCGTATTGACTCATCAGTACCTACATTACAATAACATGATTAAAAATCATATAAGATCTAGCAAGAGATAATAGATACTACAATACTTATTGTAGTCCTACATACCACAACCCTGCAAAGCAAGCCGATGTCACCTTACAACAAATGAGAGTTGCAGCTAAGAAAAATATTTTATTTTCAAATAATTGCATAGCCTCCTGTAGTATAAATACAGTGTAGCATGGATGTTAACCCTTCTGTCCTCAAACCCCACAGCATTTTCCCCGTCTTATTCAACAACAAGTTGATGTTTCAATTAAAAAGTTGTTAAGCAATATAACACTTGTCAGGTATATCTTAAACCAAATATATCTTTTCCTAGCCTGGCACATCACCTCCAGGGAACTGCCACGCCCCTCTTAGAGAAGACACAGCTATCCCAGATGCTCCGTATGCTCTGACTTGGGATGTCAAATACATTTTATCCTTTGAATCTGCATTGCTACACAGCCAAGACCTTAGTAATGTTGTACACTTTTGCAATCTTAACTGTTACACTAAACCCCAAGAGCAGAATACAGCGTGGATGGAAGGATGCACAATGAATCTGGTTGATTAGGTTTCCTCTCAAAAAGGTAACAGATTAATATACAAAAATCTTGAAAACTGAGTGAGTCCAACTTCTAGCACTCATTTATTAGAGAATTCATTCAGATACGAGTCCCTGTGACTTAGGTGAACCTTTACCACCCATGCAAAGGATGCAAAATTAAAGAGGTGACTATATTTCCGCCCCCTCTGTATTGGAAGGACCATGAAATATCCACCCTTAAAGTTTTTAGGTACTTCTGTTTCTTCCTGAGTCCAGAGTCAGACTTGATGACTCAATATAACCAACTGAACAGATTATGATCAGGCAAGATACCTGAATACTTGGGGAATTTTGAACTGGGGAACTGCCAGGCTCAGTTCCAAGAATTACATAGACCGAGCAATCCAGGTGGAGTTCGGTTCTTTATTTGCTTGCACACAATAGACAGAATCTTGCCTCACACACACATGCTAGTCATTTCCAATTCTAGGGGGTGGTGCTCATCTCTGTTACAAAGCCAAAAAGTCAGCTCTGTCCGAAGACATTTCCATGGTCATGTGGCCGACAGGACTAAACAGCGATAAGGTGCAAAGAACGCTGTTACCTTCCCACCAAAGTGGTCCCTATTTTTCTACTTGCATTTTTTACAGGCTATCAAATTGCTATGTTGGCAGAAGCTGGGACAAGTAACGGGAGCTCACTCCATGACGTGGCGCTAGGGATTTGAACTGCCGAACTGCCGACCTTCCTGACTGACAAACTCAGCATCTTAGCCCCTGAGCCACCGTATCCCTTTGAAGCCTTGCTACTTTAATCCTAATCTTATCCTGGGAGATTCTAGGGAGTGCCTATCCTAAATTTCTTTCTCTGATCCAATTCTGGGCTGTGCTGTCTCTTGCCTCACCATCCCCTTGCTTGGAAGATGCTGCTTCCTTCCTGCAAAACAACAGTTTCGCTCTACTCTCTCACAACCTCCTCCCCCTTCGTACACACAATCCATCACAGAAGCAAACCACAGGGAGTTTGCAACTCACACACAACAACCACCAGGCACATCAACTATAAACCAGCATGCTCTGATTTACTTCGATCTGACTTGGAGGAAGCTGCAAAGCTCATTGGTCCGTTCCAAAGCACATCAGATTCTGACCAGGTTCTGGCTTAGCCATCATTTGTTTCATGAGCAGGAAGGGCTATAAAGACTTCCTGTTCCAGCCACATCTGTCATTATTTTTACCAGCCATATATTTGTTCTGTGGTTCTGAACTGGCAGCTCCCAGCTGGAGGAACACCACTTAAAACCCAGGTTGTATAGTTCAACTGCTTTAATGCCTCTCAAATCACTGTCTGTGTAATATACGGGCCCTACCACAGACGTGAAAAAGGAAAAAAAAAATCCCTCGTCTGTCCAGCACATAAAACAGCTGAGATGTGTATCTGGATATTGCTTATGTGTACATGACCAGAATAGCTACAAGGCTCAGGCCTCCTGAACGACCAATCCACAGGACCACATGTGATCGGTAAGTTTTATGTCTTCTCCATTGCTTCTGAAAGCTGCAATTGCATTCGTACATTCCATTAACCCACACACAGTTAACTCTATTTCAGGCGCATGAAATTGATTCTCTGTGTAGGTATGGACACTCACCCACTGTCAGCGTTCCAAGTAATGCACCCGTGGAAGACAGAACTCCATGGCAGATAGATTCCTCAAAGAACAATTTATTGGACAGATCATATTCTCACACTGGTGGAAAGCCAACTTTGAAAGTTCCCATGGCTTTCACCTCATTTAAAAGTAAAAGTTTCCCCTTTCCCCAAAGTCACTGGTCACTCTGTCCAATCCAGCTGCTGACCGACTGCTTGGTTACTTCACTCCTCCTCTAGCCAGGCATCTGTGAGAATGCCTTTGGTTCCCACATGAAAACTTTATTGTTTTGGCTACAAAACCCCATCAAACGATTTCCCCACTCCCTCTGTTGTGTGGCAACCCTGAAGCTTCCAAGATAGTGAAAAAAAATAATGGTGAAACAAAGTAAGGTTCTACATTTAGGCAAAGAAAAACAAAACGCACAAATACAGTGTATGTGGTACCTTGTTTTATAGTAGTAACTGTGAGAGGGATCTTGGAGTCCTAGTGGACAATCACTTAAATATGAGCCAGCCCTGTGCTGCAGCTACCAAAAAAAGCCAACACAGTTCTAGGCTGCATAAACAGAGGGATAGAATCAAGATCACTTGAGTTGTTAATACCACTTTATAATGCCTTGGTAAAGCCACACTTGGAAGACTGCATCCAGTTTTGGTTGCCATGAAGCAAAAAAAAACAAAACATGTTGAGACTTTGGAAAGAGTCCAGAGAAGAGCAACAAAGATGATTAGGGGATTGGAGGCTAAAACCTATGAAGAACGGTTGCCGGAATTAGATATGTCTAATCTAGTGAAAAGAAGGACTTGGGGAGACAAGATAGCAGTCTTCCAATATTTGAGGGACTGCCCCAAAGAAGAGGAAGTCAAGCTATTCTCCAAAGCTCCAAGGCAGGACAAGAAGCAACAGATGGAAACTAATCAAGGAGAGAAGCAACCTAGAACTAAGAAGAAATTTCCTGACGGAACAATTAATCAATGGAACAATTTGCCTCCAGAAGTTGTAGATGCTCCAACACTGGAAGTTTTAAAGAAGAGATTGGACATCCATTTATCTGAAGTGGTGTAGGGTTTCCTGCCTAAGCAGGGGGTTAGACTAGAAGACCTCCAAGGTCCCTTCCAACTCTGTTATTCTATTCTAAGATGGCCTCAGCAGGTTCACCTCGGGGTTGACACCCACATCAGCACACTGGGAAGGGAAGGAGGAGCATGTTCCTGCCATTGGTGGGAAGGAAGGAAATGAGGCTCAGCATCACAGGAGAAATAGGGAAAGCCCTACAAGAGCAGACTTGGGAGTGACAGAGAAATGACCTTGTCAGCTGTATCCAGGCTTCTCCATCTTGCTTGGTGACAAGTATTCGCACTGACCAAAAAAGTACTTGCACATAGGAGCCCAAAATTTATCTTGCTTTGTGAGAAAGTTGCTAGGTGAATTTTGCCCCAATTTTATGCCCCTTTCTTGCCATGGTTGTTAAGTGCATCACTGTAGCCATTAAGTGAGTCATGCATAGTTGTAAACAAATCCAGCTTTGCCCATTGGCTCTGCTCGTTGGAAGCCACACAGGAAGGTGATGGATGGAGATTACATAATCCCAGGATGCTGCAACCATCCTCAAGCACGTGCCAGTTGCCAAGCACCCAAATTTTGATCATGGGGAATGTTACAACAGTGTGAAAAACAGTCCCAAGTCACCTTTTTCAGTGCCGTTGTAACTTCTCATGGTTACTAAAAGAATGGCTGCAAGTCAAGGACTATAGAGTCAAGGTCCAATGGTTTCCATGATGTTTCCTTCCTTTTTCCTTTTTTAGTTTCTGTAAGTATCTTGTGTCTTCATTGTAGTATTCTTATATGTTGCTGGAAAGCATCTGTTGAGGATTACATGGTGGACCCAACGGTGCCATATTTATTTTCTACTGAAAATCGTGGCAGAATTGATAGAAAAATGTTAGAGTAAAAAATAAAATACTATGGGAGAAGA